TTCCTCAGAGCCTCCAGAAAAGCCAAAGCCTTGATTCTGGCCTTGTGTGACCCTAACCAGACAACCTAGTTGAACCCACCTGAACTTCTGACCTCAGAGTTGTAAGATAATAGATGTAATTTTAAACTGCTACCTGTGTGATAATTTGGTATGCAACGATAGAAAACTAATACAGCACTCATCTCTGGAAAGAAGTTTTCTCCCTATTTTATAAGTGAGGAGGCCCAGAAAATACAAGTCATTTGCTCATATTTGCCCATATTGGTGACAGGGCTGAGTCATGACCTAGGGCAGGGGCTGGCAAACGTTTTCTATAAAGGTCCAGATAGCAAATACTTCAGCCTTTGCAGGCTATATGGTTTCCGTCCTAACTGCTCAGTTCTGCCATTTGAGCAGAAAAGTAATATGTAAAGGGTGAGCACCACTGTGTTCTAATAAAACTTTATAGGCACTAAAATTTGAATTTCATAAAGTTGCCAGGTGTCGTGAAATAGTCTTCTTGTTTTTATTAAAAATTGTAAACCCCATTCTTAGTTTCCAGGCTGTACACAAAAAGGCACTGAGGCTTGGAGTGTAGCTCAATGGTGGGCACTTGCCTAGCATGCGTGAAACCCTGGGTTTGAGGAAGGGAGGAAGAATAGGAGGGAGAAAGGAAGGAAGGAAGGAAGGAAGGAAGGAAGGAAGGAAGGAAGGAAGGAAGGAAGGAAGGAAGGAAGGAAGGAAGGAAGGAAGGAAGGAAGGAAGGAAGGAAGAAAGGAAGGAAGGAAGGAAATAAAAGAAACCAGAAAGGCCCTGGCCAGATTTGATCTGTGGGCCAGTTTGCCAGCACTCCAGGTGCTTGACTTCTAGGCCCAGACATCAGTGAATACCTGGAACAGCTCAGAGGCTGGTGAAAAGGACTTTGGACACCAGAACCCTGTATCTGGGTCCCTGCTGTACTTTTAGATTTGCTGTGTGACTTTAGGCAACTTACTTTCCTTTCTCTGAGTGTATAACGGGGCAACGGCTTTTAAGTCTTTTCTCTACTCATCCGCCACCTCTGGGCTTTTTCTTGAAGAAAAGCTAACACAGAACTCTAGCATGAAAAACTAACATGAAGGGCACCTGCTCTGACTGGGACTGAGGACAGAGTCCCTGCCCATTCTTTTCTACTCTACCTTCAGGAGCAGCCCCAGAGTCTCTGCAAAACAGGTGCTGAAAACCTTTGGGCCAGCCACCTCCAAACCTCGCTAAGATCTACACTTTCTCCCCTCCACCTGACCTCTGGAGCAGATAATTCCATGTTGTGGGAGCAGTCCTGTGCATTGTACGTTGCTACCAGGTGCCAAAAACACCCCCACCACAGCGGTGACAATCAAAAATGTCTCTATACACTGCCAAATGTCCCTTGAGAGGGTGGAGGTGGGTAAACCCCAGGTTCAGAACCCTGACCTAAACCACCTCTTTTGTAAAGCTCAACCTCAGAATCCCATTGCTTTTGGTATTAAGGTGTTCGGAGACCTTTCTTTAAAGATGTTTCCACTCCAGAGCTGACCAACCTTGGCTGTACTGCAGGCAGACCTGGAGATGTCCCCTCCCCATCACTTTCTTTCTGGAAGGGGACAGAGCAGCCAGCCATCACACAGCCCATGCTGTTCGCAGCAGGGATTCATGGTGAGCCTGTGGAGGGCCATTCCGAGATGGCACAAGGGAGGGAGAGAGGCACAACAGGCCCACACCTGCCCCCACCCCAGTCGCTGCCAGTAATGGAGACAAATACAGGAGCGTGCGAGACACAGAGAAACGTTCATGATAGTGTGTTAAATGAAAAAAGCAGCAGCATGCAATGCATGGCTAGATATTTGTACAACATCCACATCTGGAAAATGTTATATCAAAATGTCACAGGGGTTGCTTGTCTCTGGGTGGTGGGAAGGCTATAATCTTTACAGAAGGACATGGAGCCCTGTCCTGGAGGGAGAGGGGACTCTCCCAAGATGGAGGACCCTCTCTTGCTTCTCTTCTACTTACAGAAGAGAAAATTAAAAAAAAAATTTAATAAAAAATAATCACAGCTGATATTAAGCCCTTTCTATGAGCCAAATACGATTCAATAGGCAAATTATTTAATAAGTTGTTTACTTCTCACTGCAACCCAAAGGGGCCTGGCCCATTCCTGGGCTTACTTCTCATTGCTTTTCCTAATGTGGCCGTACTTTGGGAAGTGTTTTTCTTGTGTTATAGGATCAGACACTGTTCTTTATCTCCGAAGGGGAAGACTGATTTCCTTGAACTCATGAATATTTTCTAAGTTTTCTATCATGTCCAGCTATTTTCATTAGAAAAGGGGTAGTCTCATTTCTATTAGCACACTCAGGACTATGACTGATGGATCTGTAAAGTCCTATGGAAGCTGAAAAGCGGGACAAAGCATCCTGCTTTGAGAAGTCACCCAGAGAAAGTGACCTATGACCTGAGTTTTAGGGGAAGTACAGCGCTCACCAGGTGAAGCTGGCGAGAAGGACCTTTGTGGCCAAGGTGTGGCATTGTACCTGGGTTACGATGAACAGTGAGTTCAGGAGTGATGTGGGGGGAGGGAGCTATAGGAAATGGGGCCGGGAAGTGGGTGGGGTCTTGGGTAAGAGCTGGGGTCATTATTCTAATGCAATGGGGAGCCACTGACAATTTTAGGCAGGTGAGGGACTGATTGGGAGGTTGATGTGGAAGCTCAAGCTGGTGATCATTAAGGATAGGCAGCTTGGGGACAGCTAGCCAGTGAGAGACAGTAGGAGCAACCCAGGATGCTTCAGAGGGGACAATGTGGCAAAGATGGAAGAGTGCATAGGAGTCTGGAAGATTCTGAGATATGGATTTAGGTACCTCCTCTTCCCAGTCCTCATTTAGTAGCTGTGAACCCTGGGCAGGGCGCTTCTCTCTTATCTTCATGGTTTAGCAGATGACAAGTAAATATGAAAATCACATGACTGGTGATTTGCAATAAGTGAGCACAAGTGGAATCCCTCTGCCCTGCCCCCTTGATGGAGAAGCCAGTAACCAATTTTCTCCTCTGAGTAGTTGTTGGGGCTAGAAGAGCCTGAGGCAGATCACTCAGGGTTCACTGCCAGGCCTAGGCACTGTGGCAGACGTGGAGGGCACATCAGTTACGGAAGGTGGGAAGAGGAGATGGAGCTAGAACTATGTTCTGTGTGGCTGGGCTGAGTGAAGTCACACCTGGTCTTTTGTCTCAGGGAGGTCACCATTGACAGGGAGATTCACAAATAGGGTGCATGCATAGGTCACCTCCTCAGGGATATGGTGTCACTAAACCCTAATGGCTGCCCTGAGAAGAAGGTTCCATCGTCTTCATTTCACAGACAAGAAACCTGCTGCTTCAAGAGGATACGGCTGGCAACTTCCAGCCTGAGCATGGCTGAGGCAGGCCAGGAACCATGACCTGTCAACATAAGGGCCTGGGTTCCCAGCTGGGGTTAGAAGACTCAGGTTTAAGCAGGGCCCAGGCTCACCAACTTGTGACTTATCCTGGGGACTCCAGGCAGGGAGGAGCGGTCTATCCTGACCAATGAAAGGACACACCCTGCATGGATACCTGTCTTGCAGACATGAGTGGACCTGAAAGCTTCATGGCCTCCTGCCTTCCCCTTACAGCTTCCCTGTGCCCACAAGGGCACAAAGGGGGCTGTTGGTGGCCTTTGGTCCCTGGGCAAACTGTCCCAATGGAATCCAGCAAGGTAGAAAATCCCTGTCTCAGCTAAGCCACTTGTGAGCTTCTCAGTCTGATGCAAGCATTTGCCCCTCTCTGAACCTGTTTCCTGCTATAAAATAGGGACATTTATCTAGACTCCCCCACAAAGAGATGATGAAATATATAACATGTTAAAGGACCTTGCCAGCCAGAGGAATCATGCTCAAAGAACTCAAATACTCTCTGGTGGAATCTTTCCTCAGAGACAAGGAGGTCCCTGCCACTGACCTGCTCTGTGACCCTAACATGCTAGCCTCTCTTCTCTGAGCCTCAGATCCTATTGCACAAGCTGGTCCCATCTTCAGTGTCCCTGGGAAGGAAGATTGTCACGTCAGTTTGTTGAGGATCCCGGGCATGGCTAAGGGCAATCTGGCCCCAGTCCTCCAGTATGTGTCAGCATTAGGAAAATGCAAAAACAAACCCAGTGGTCCTGGACCCACACGAATCTGTCAAGATATGACCAGCCTGTGACTTTGTCCAGCTTGGTACCTGCTGCTGCCTGTTGCTGCCACTCTTACAAGGGGACTTAGGGGTTTAGGGTTGTTCCAGAGTGTACACACACACACACACACACACACACACACACAGAGAGAGAGAGAGAGAGAGAGAGAGAGAGAGAGGAGAGAGACTAACTCCTCTTCCAGGCTCCCAAAATCACCAGTCCACAAAAACTACCTTAGCTGGACCCTTTCCCTGGACCACGGCAGGAGGGCAGTGGGAGAAGTTATTCCTCAGCTCCTGCCCGGGCCCATCCCAGCAGAAAGTGACCTGGGAAAGGGAGCTTGTGTGTTTGTGTATATCTGTGTGGGTGGGGGGCCGGCAATCTAGGAGGTCTTGCTCTCTAACTGACCCTTGTGAGCAGAAAAGGCTGAGAATGTCAACGCAGGATGCAGGAAATATCTGGATAAGTGGCTTTCCCTCCCTGGACCTCAGTTTCCTTTTCTGTAAAGCGGGAGTAAGGTGGCCCAGGCTCAGGACTCTTAAAGCCCTATCGGCAGAGCACGATGGCTCTCGAAAGTGAGTCTCGAAAGTGAGCCCCAGTAGTCCCTGGGGCGAGACGGCCCCAAGGGCGGCCAGTTCCCCTACGGTTGCAGGATGGGTCAGGTCAGCAGCAACTTCGCTGCTCAGCGCCAGGGTCTAGAAACCCAAGTCCCCGCCAGCCCGATCGCGCTGTCGCTTTAAGGTCGGGCGGGGCCCTCTGGGCACCGCGCAGTACCTGGAGCCAGAAGCAGGGCCACCGCGGAGGGTGGCAGCGGACAGGGCTTCCCCTAACGCAGCCCCGCGGACCTCTTGTCCCGCAGCCACCAGTGCCATCACGTCCACCGTGTTCACCGCGCCTGGACCGCGCCTGACTGCTGGCCGCGCCACAGCCGCGCGAGGTGGGTGCAATCGCCCTTCTCTTCTTTGCTTCTTTTGGGAGCATTTCGGCTACTCCTGAGACCGACCAGCCTGATTCTTCCCTTTAACCCTGACCTCCTGAGGGTGGACACCCCGGTATCCACCTGTCTTCTAGGGCCTCAGTTTCCCCGCAGTTAGTGAGGGTGTGCTGGGCCACTTCTTACTCAGATGGTTATTTCTTTACAGAAACTGGCACCTTATGTGCCCTCATTGGTGGTCTAGGGCAGGAGCCTGGGCACAGCATTTGCCTCCTGGCTCCCTGCTGAGGTGGGCTCTCTCCCTGGCTCCCCTGACAGGAGCAGGGCTTTCTACCAGCTGATGGCAAGAGGGAGATGGGGTGCAGCTGTGGAAAGAACCCTACTATCAGAGGAGTGAGTGTGCCCATATCTTTAAATTCTCACCGGGTCGTGGTGTTATCCTGCCCATTTTACAGAGGAGGGTACTGAGGCAAGGATAAGCTAGATAACTTGGCCGTGTTGAAGCAGTTCCATCCTCTGCCCAGTTGTGTCACTATACCTCACAGCTTGCCCTTTCACCTCCATAACCTGCTTTCCCTGAGAGGAGGGATGTGAAGTCCATGGTGTTTGGCAGTGGCAGACTGGGTCCTGGGTGGTATCTGGGCTGGATCTTGAGCAGGGGTGAAATGAGAGCCCTGATAGAAACAGAGGGCCACCCCCACCCCAGAGGGAGCAGCAGATCTAGTAGAGAACCCCAGGCAGCTGGAGTTGGGCAAGGGCAGGGGAGGGGCCAGAGGAAGGTGGGGAGATGGCTAATGAGCCCTTGCCAGCTTATGTGGAGGACTGGGTGGGTGGGGGGGCGGAACAGACACAACACTTCTCTGGGGCTGAAGGAGCTTTCTGCCTGCCCTCCCCCACCTCCCCAGAACTGGGGCTACACCCTCCAGGGCAGGGAGCCCTTCTTTCCTCCCACATCAGGGCCACAGGGTCTGGAGGTGCTCCAGTGTGAGCAAACTGCCAGAGGTCACCTCTCTGAAATGGGTCAGGGGAACTTGGGGCAATCAGCCAGAGCCCTGACTTATCAAGATAAAGAAAACAATCACCATACAATGGGTGGGCTTCACCATCCATGAAGACCCAGGGTCCGTGGGCTTTACGCACCATCAGAGAAGGCTTCTCAGGTAAGGGGTGAGCTGAGGCTGGCAGGGAGATGATGAGAAGTTACTGGGCAGAGGATCACCCTAGAGGTTGGCTTTGGGAACATTCTGGACCTGAGTTCCAGCCTCTTCTTGTCTGTGGGATCTTCGGCTGGGTTTCCTTCTTACATTTTTTTTTTTTACCCCGTGCAGCGTCTTCTTTTATAGTTGGACATTCAGGCTCTTTACAAATGATGACCATTATAAACAAGGTCATATGACCATCCTTTTGTACAAAGTCTGGCTCCATGTTATTTATTTATTTATTATTTATTGGTGGGACTGGGGTTTGAACTCAGAGCTTCACACTTGCAAAGCAGACACTACTGCTTGATCGAAGCCTGCAAGGGCCTTGGTATCTTATGTGGCAGATGGAGATGACAGCTGGACCTCCTGCAGTTGGACCAGGTACATTGAGGCAGAGCACAAGTCAGCAAGCCCTAGTCCTGACAGACCTAGGGACCCAGCAGAGGTACAGATGTACACTCTTATCCCTCCAGGCTGTCTGTGAGGTTGTCACAGTGGGGAGCCTTTATACCTACCAGGCCATGAGGCCAATGAGACCTGACAGAGGCCAGAGTGGATATGGCCACATTTATTAAGCTCCAACTGTGTCCCAGAAACCTGATACACATCATCTGTGACCATTGAGGTAGCCCTGCAAAATCAGGGGCATTCTCTCCCATTCACAGGTGAGGAAACTGAGGTATAGAGGATCAGACAACTTTTCCAAGGTTACACAGTGACCTCAGGCAGAGGAGGACTAAAACCTGGGTCTCTGATACACATTACCTGACCCTTTTCCTTATCTCTCTCTGTGTCCAGATGTGCGGCAGGGGCCAAGTGGCCTCCACTCTCCGCTATGGCATGACGGTCAGTGGCACGGTGACCCTAGTGATTGGGACTCTCTGCTTCGCTTGGTGGAGCGAAGGGGATGCAGGTGGCCAGCTGGCCCCACCCGTGGAGCACCCTGCACCTGAGGCTCCCCGCCCTGTGCTCAGGTCTGTCAGCTTTTTCTGCTGTGGTGCCGGCGGCCTGCTGCTGCTCTTTGGCCTGCTGTGGTCCATGAAGACCAGCACACAGGGGCCGGCCCGGTGGGACCCCTACTACCTCTCCAGAGACCTATACCACCTCACTGTGGAGTCCTCAGAGAAGGAGAGCTGCAGGTCAGTGGCGTGGGGTGGGGGCCTCAGGTGATAGACCAGTCACCCTCCCCAGCATTTGCACAGCACACTTTCATAAGGTTCCTTCTCTGTATCAGGCCTTGACCTGTGTCCTGGGGACATGAAGGCTGATTGTTACAGACCTGAGGGAATCTAAAACCCTGTGATCAGAGGCAGATGGCAAACCAGAGTAGTTAGAGCTGGGTGAGAAGAGCAGGCATAGTCCTCAGAAACATGGAGAAATCCAGGAGACTTCCAGGAAGCAGGTGCAGCTGAGCTCAACAGAGTAGCAGAAGAGTTAAGAGTCAAGGCACAGGAAGAAGTAGACCCACTGGGATCCTGCCCTGCTTCTAACACTAACTTGTTGAGTGACTTCAAGAAGCTCCTGCCTTAAGCCTCAGCTTCTCCTCTGGAATTAAACAGGAGCAATGGCAACAACAATAATAGAAAACACCTGTGTTCACATCTCCCTTACTCCTTATGGCAGCTCAGTGATGTACTCCATTTGTAGAGGGGGAAACTGAGACACTGAGACATTGTGTCAGAACTGAGACTTGACCCCAGGCAGCCTGGCCCAGAGTTGGCACTTTTGCCAGCTCCCTGCCACAGAGGACACCTGGGACAATGAAGTGAGATGGTGAGTGTGTGGAGCTTAGCCCAGTGCTTGGCACCCAGTAGGTGCACAGGTGATGGTAATTTTTCCTCGAAGGACTTGGTAGAGAGGGACAGTTTAGGTAGGCAGAAGAGCATACACAAAGTCATGGGGTGGAGTGAGGTGGGGTGGGATGGAGACAAAACATTTCATGCACGTGGTTCTCACCTGTTTCTCCATCATCAGTTGCCCCCCTAGCCTTTTGGACTCATGCTTTGTGAGTGTCTTTTTCGGGTACTTACTTACTCAACAAAGTACTTGTGTGTTACATCCCAGGGGCCTTTTCATGCATCACCTATCGGTCTGTACTTCTGTCATGGCGAAGGTAAGGATCACTGTAGCCCTTTGTGGAAGAGGAAGGTGGAAGGCACATAGCTGGCTGCAAAGCTTGCCCTGCTTCTCCTCACTGCCCTGTAAGCACTGGATTGGGGTGCAGTGGGGCTGACCGAGTCTCCTAGGAGCCAGCTTGGGGCCTCAGGCCCTTCTTCCCTTTATCAGAAAGCAGTGCCTTCCAAGATGAAGACAGTGAGGGTATTTCTACTGCTGGCATGTGATGCTGAAGGCCAGTTACCGCATTCAACAGGACCACTTAGTCCTGTAGTCAGACATTGGCTGGAAGGGACTGTTGGAGGGGAGAGGAGGGCCTTGGGGACCATCCAGCACTTCTCAAATGAGGAACCTGGGTCTTGAGGAGGCTGAGTGACCCACCTCGTCATGTAGCATTTAGTGATTTCAGGAGCCAGGCCAGGGCTCAGATGCTGTGCTTGGGAGCCTCCTCCTCCCTGCCCAGCCTGGCATGATTGTTGTCTGTACACACAGCTATGTTGATGCAGCAGGGTCCAGGCCCAACTGCTGGTCTCTGTGGGAGGCTACTCTGCCAGTCCTATTCCCAGGTGCCTCATTCTGTGGGGGTTGCCTGGCTGCTGATAATTTCAGGTCAGAGACATATAGACCTCCTCTGCTGTTGGATTGGGCAGGTCCCTTTCTGTCAGGCTTCCCATTTATTCACCTACTCCTTCTTTCAGGCATTTAACTAATATTGATTGAGCACCTACTGTGTGCTGGGTTCTACTTGCAGTACTGATGATGGAGCAGGGGACAGGACAGACAAAACCCCCGGCCTCAGGAAGCTCACATCTCAAATGTCAAGTAGCTGAACTTGAGGCTTGCAGGGGCCTCTGCCTTCAGTGAGCAGGGCAGAAAAGGCCTGGGCCCATTCAGGTGTGTCTATGAATGTTACTAGGTTTTCTGAGCCATGTCTGATCTGTCAGCAGGAGGTAATAGGACTTTCTCCACTGGTGACTGTTAGGCTCAGAGATGACAGATGGGGAGAGGGGGTGGACACACTGTACAGCTTGTGTACACATTAGCTTCCCTGCTGTCACTGTGCTGTAAAGTTTACAGTGTACACTCAGGCCCACTAACTGGTTTAAGCCTCAGCTACGTATAGGGTGAGTGTAAGGATTAGGTTCATTTTACAAAAGGGAAACTGAGGTGTGGAGGGATTGAGTGGCTTGGGGAGAGGTGTGGGGTTGGCCCGAACTTTGCAATCAGGCAAATGGGGGTTTCACTGCTTAGCTAAGGCAGGATCCCCATCTGTGACATGGGCAGGGCTGCTGTCCCTAGCGTGGTCATGAGTATGAAACACAGTGAGTTGGGCAAATAGAGTCTCATCCCAGTCCTTTTGCACTTCTCACTGTGTCTGTTGTACTCTGCTGCAGGGCAGTAGGGCCAGCACCAAGCCCCAGGTCTCCCACTGTGGCCAGGCCGCGTTGGGGGAGGGGGACTTCCCTTGTGTGAGACCACTGTGGCACAGCTGTCCATCATCACTGCAGAATGCCCTGGCTAGAATGTCCTGGAACAGAAGTGTGTGACATAGCCACCCTGCAAGGGCCTGTGTGCCTTGTGTTCATGGCATTCTGGTCCATGACTTTGGAGACTTAGGGTTGGCAGGCCCAACTGGCCACTAAAGTGACAAGAAGGGTGCAATGGCCGCTCCACACCTGCCCTTTAAGCAAACTTCCTGCTGTGGGCTGAGCTCATATGGCACCTGTGTTTGCCCTGATAGCTGCCACCTGCTATGGTGGCCCCAGGCATACCCAAAGCCTGTCTTATATATCCAGGGTTCAAATAATCTGGGGAGGGTGGAAGCATGGCTGGGAAGTAAGCAGGGCAGGAGATGCCGGGCCTCTGATGCCCTGTTACCCACGTTTTTCTGAGTGTTGTCAAGGCATTTTCCCTTCCCTGTATCTATGAAATGGCAATTGTTATCCCATTTTACAAATGAGGATAAATAGGCTCAGGGAAAAGGTGGGCAGGACCCAGGTCACACAGCACAGAGCCCAGCTCGCCTGACCCCAGGAGCACTGTTCTTTGTCCTATTTTCCTGCAAAGCATGCTGGAAGCTCAGAGGAGCGTGAGGGCGTTATGGCCTTCCTCGTTGCAGGTTCCTGGCTGGCATTCTGCATCCTGAGGCTACATAGTCTGGGGTCAAGTCCATGGTTCCCAACAACTTCTGTCACCCTGGCCTGTGATGGGGCATGAGCCTGCTCAAGGTAGGCTGCTTTGAGGGTTACAGTGGCTTGGATGGAGAAAACACATTGCCAGAGAAGAGCCAAATTCCCAGCAGGCATTGAGTGTTCCCAGGAGAGGTCCTTGGTGCTTTCTCCCATCCCCCACCTCTGCTGTCCCCCAGGCTGGCCTCCTGTACTGGCCCCTCCTGGATCTGGATGGCAAGACTACTATGTGGAGGCAATTAAGTCCCTAGCCAGCTCCAAGAAGACCCCAGACCAGTGACTGGGCCTCTCTGAACCTGTATGGAGCCTGCTATTCAGGTGCCATCCCTGTCCTCATCACACGAGACCTCGGAGGTGCTAATGGCCCCTGTTTATGGAGCACACACTGAGTGCCTTTCATTGCCTCATTTAATTTTCACACCATCTGTCCTCTGAGGTAGATACCATTACTGTCCCCATTTCACAGATAGAGAAATGGAGGCTCTAATTAATGGAGTTACTGACCCTCAATCTCCACCAAGAATGTGACAGAGCCGGGAGCTGAACCAGCCTCATAACCAACCCTGGTGCAGCTTAGTGTAGGAAGTGACCTTCATCATCACTCAGACAGCCTGTATCTGGTAGTGTTGCTTCAAAGCTGTGGCAGTCCAGACCTAGGACAGTGACACTCTCGCTCTATAGGCCCTGGGATAGGGAGGGGCACTGACTCCCTGGAGACAACCCACAGGGCTCACCGAGGGCCTTGCTGTGGCTGGGATATAGGGGGCCTGGCCTGTAGAGCCTGCTCAGTGTTGCCTCAGAGGACCTGGTCTTTGCCTTGAGTCCCTGTAGGGTGGCTCAGTTGGCTGGGGATGAGGAGCGGGTGAAAGGTCACAGGAAAGCTAAGCTGTACAGGGATAGAAGTGGTTGGCTTGGTGGGTAGTGAGCCCTCCATCCCTGGAGGCATCTAAGCAGCAGCAGTCACAAGGCAGACACTACGTCAAGGGCTCAAGCATCCAGACAGGAAGTGAATTGAGGTCTCCCATTCTGTCCTGAGCATCGAAACTCTGACTTCAGACCATCACCCACTCAGTCTTTCAACAAACACCCCCAAGCACCTGTCCCCAGCCTCTAGACACTCACAGTCCCCACCCTAGGGAATAACCAGCAAGTGTCAGAGAAGGGTCCAGAGCAGGGTGTAGGAACTTTGCTTGGGGAGAGACAGGTAAAAAATGTCCAAGGGGAGTCTCAAAGCACAGTGAGGAGTAGCAGCAGGAAAGGGAGGGTGAGGGACTTTTCCCTGCAGAGGGAATGGGGGCAGCCTGGAGGGAGAGGTGGGAGAGCTGAAGCTGGGAGGGCTGTCATGTGTCAGCTGATGGGGGGGTGGGAACTAGGGAGCTGCAAAGGTTTAGGCCTAGCCACATTGCTTCCTGGCCTAGCTGTCCTCACCATCTCCCTGGCATGTGGTAGGTTTTTGTCCTCGCCCTGTGACCAACCTTTCTTTTGTTATAGGACCCAGAAAGTGGTTGCCATCCCCACTTATGAGGAGGCCATGTACTGCCCACTGGCTGAGGGGTCCTCAGCACCACCTGCATGTCCCCCAGAGGAAGACCTGTGGTGTGGAGCCCCAGGACAGGCCCTGCTGGGGACACCATCCCCCTCACCTCCACCCAGCTACAGAAGCATTGTCCTTGTTCCTGATGCAGTTTCTGGAATGACACCACCTGCTCCAGGTGCTGTGTGCTCCTGTTCAGACCTGGCTCAAACTGCAGGGGGCATTGTAGGCTCCTAGCAGGTCCTGAAACTGTCGAGAGAAACACAGGGCCCTTTGCAGACTCTCCTACAGTGCCTGGTGCCCAGCAGACACTCCGCACCTTTGCTGGCTTTAAATACATCCCATTGCATTATAGCTCACAAATTGCTGGTTGGTTCCAGTGATTCTTCTGCCTCACAGTGACTCAGGGACCCAACTGGGACAGAAGACCTAAGATGCTCCCACAGCAGGCAGCTTGTGCTAGCTGGTGGCTGGGAGATTTTGTGCAGAGGATGTGGGGGCCAGAGGCAGAGGCAGAACTGGCCCAAGGTCATACACTGAGTATGTGGCCTGTGAACGAAGACTGCTTGTGCATGGGTGCCACCAGATACCATCTTGGTCACCTTGGACAATGATTTCCCCTCTCTCAACCTCAGTTTTCCCAGCTGTAAAATGGGATTGGGACTAAATTGGCACCTGAGAAGGAAGTTAAATGGATGACAGCAGTGGACGCTGAGAGCTTATGTCATCCCCACCCCTCACTGCCCCCAGGCTCCATGCTAAGCAGCATGCAATAAATTCAGGGTCCACAACACTGTACCAGGGCTTGTTAACCATGCAGTGATTCCCAGATTGTGTTACAGAGGCAGCCCTCCTCCACCCAGTGCACAGGGCCATGGGCCCTGTGCCACACCTCCTGTGACAGGAGCTCACTACCACCCCTGCTGTCCAGATGTGGTAGAAATATCTGCTTTCTACCCAGCTACATTCTGCAGCCCTATGTCTCCACCCCACCCCACTCTGTTATCAGTCAACCCCGTGCGTACTGTCAGTAGCCCCGCCTTGGGTGGTTTGGCTCAATTTGAGATACGAATCGTAGAGACAGGAAATAGCATCCACATAAATGAAGCTGTATTGGGGCATATGCCTGAGAACAGGGAGACAGCACATGGGGTAGGGTCCCTGGGCTGCTCCAAGGAAGTTTTTGTAGTCTGAAGTGCTCACTATTGCCACCCCAGGAGTGGTCAGAGCTGGGCATCCTGTGCCTGTGGAGGCTGCAAGGGTGGAAGCAGATGACATAAGTAAGGCAAAGTCAACTTCTCCTTAGAGATCACGGCTGGGAAATCAGGGCTTTCTCGATCTGTCTCAATTCCAGTGAGGAGAGCAGGAAGTTAAGTGACTTTCCCAGAGTCCCACAGCAAGCAGAGGATTAAAGGTCTGGGGCTTACTCAGCTGGATAAGGGTCTACTGTGTGCTGGGTTAGAGTCTCTGTTGCTGTCTTACACCCTCAAAGCCACTCCTTACAGGTGGTGGCATCCTTAGTTCACAGGTGGGAAAATGGCCTCAGAGAGGTAAATGGTCAGAGAATAAAGTCAGAATCCATGTTTTCTGTCAGGTCTGCCTCCCACCCGCAATGGCTTGGATCATTGCAGTAGCTGTTGGCACTGTCTGTCCACTCTGTCTGTCCCCCTCTCTGCAGTCTTCTTAGGTTAGGGTGAGTCCGATCAACCCCAGGTTAGTTCAAGTCAGAACCTGGTTCCAGTTCAAATTGAATGATGAAGTCCTTCCACTGGTCTGGGAACAGGTCTGGTCTGCACCTCTAACCTCCTTCTCCCCCTTCCCTGTCCAGCCCTTTACACTTGCTATTCTAGAAGCTCTTGCCCAGGGCTGCCTCCTCACCAACTCTTGGGGTTTTTGGGGGGGTGCCCCTGCACCAAGCCCTGATCCTCTCCTGCACCCCCTCCCCTCCTCTCCTTTCATCATGGCTTGGCCTTCTCCCTGCCCAGATCTGCCTCAGGGCGCTGCAGGAGTCTGCAGATGCCTTGCTGCTACCTTGACCTTGGACTGGACACAAATATGGCATATGCTCTGCAATTCCTAAGGGCTTATTGGTGGGCCCTCCTATCCCCACAATGAGTAATGTCACCAGGGGAGGTGAGTTGATGAGTTGAATGTGTGACCAGGGTCCCCTCTTCCTGGCAGCAGCTGAAGGGAAGGGTGGGAGGGCTGGCCACCCAGAGACTTCCTGCCTCTTCCCAGCAGCTCATCTGTGTGCTAGTACTCAAAAGTCCTCAGGAGGAACGCTGACATGCTCAAGGTCACTAGCACCTGGAAGCCTGAGCCAAAGTCACAGTCATTCTCCCGACTGTGACTTCTAGCTGCCGTGACCTCACTGTGAACTTGGATCCCAGTGCCCACTGGCAGGTGCCCCATGGAGAAACTAGCTGAGGACTGAGCCAGCCCTCTGCAGCCTGTATGCTTCTTGGTCTGGTCTTAGTCACACATCCGAGCCCAGCTGTGCAGTGGATTTGACCACCATCAGACCCCATCTGTGCCAGCCACTGGGGATCACAGCCCCTTGAGGCTCAGGTCTCTGCCATGCCTTCCCTGGACCCCTCCAGGCTTCTGTTACCTCTGGGTCATCTGGTGTCCCTTCCTCTGGACTCTCATTTTAAAAGGTTCATCAGGCAGAACCTCCCCCGCCCACCCCACACCCCACTGATAATCGTCACTCGTGGTTCTTTCTTTCTCTAATGGAAAAATTAAGTGCGATCCTGTCTCTCCCTCAGCCTCTGTAAAGGCTCCCACTGGCTTCTGAAAACTGTCAGATGCCTTCTGTCAATATCTTCTCATGATCCCAGAAGGTTTCCTGCTCATATACCTCCCTTGGCCTCCCTCTGCCCTGGTCCTTCTGCCCCACCCCTCCACCCACAAATACCATCCAGAGCCTTCCCTGTTCTAGTCCCAGGGGACACAGCAGTGAACAAAACAAAGTCATGAGAGAGCTTGGGATCTAACTGGAGAGACAGACAAGAGACAAGATGAACTAATAAATGTACAATATGACAGATGGCAGTAAGTGCTATGGAGAAAAATAATTAAGAAAGGAGGAAAAAAAAGGGGCTTTTGCGATTTCAGAGTACAACTGTATGTAACATTTGGTCAAAGACTTGAAAGCAGTGAGGAGGGACCCATGTAGATATGGCAGAAGGAACAACAGGTGCAAAGGTCCTGGGGTGCCTGTGCATTTCAGGAACAGTGTGGAAGCCAAGGAGGTTGTGGCAGAGCAAGTAATAAGCTCAGAGGGATGATGAGCAGGCAGCATAGGCAAATGGCCTAGGGCTTTGTAGAGCACCTTAAAGCCTTTGGCTTTTCCTTTGAGAAGACAGCCATTGCAGGGTTCTGAGCAGAGGAGTGACGTGAGTTGACCTAGTATTTGGGTTAGAATGAGACTTTAGGGATAGAAGCAGAGACCAGGTAGGGGAACAGAGATGATGGGGGCTCAGACCCAATGAGGAGAGACTGGATTCTTGTACCTTGAAGGTAGAGACAACAGGACCCAGGGTGAGAGAGGCAGGGTGGTGGCCTGGATATCCCACTGGTGGCTTGGTAGCACACAGGAAGCGAGCTGAGGCGTGTGCACTGCAGATCAGCCTGTGCACAGCACTGGGAGTCTAGTCTCCAGCCACCTGTCAATGTGCACTTGCCCCTTTGTCTTTACACATGACAGTCCCCTCGCCAGAATGGCCTTCTTGCCCTGCCAGAAGAACTCCAAGCAAGCATTCTCCGAGGTCCTTCCTGTGAATCTGTCCCTGCCTTTCCCTCTCTTTGCTTCTCGCACATGCCGACCTCAGGGACAGCTGAGTACCATGCCGTGCAGCAGAAGGCAGAACTAGGTGCCATGGGTCCCTGAAGCCAGCCATCTCAGAGTCCAGCACACCGTGGGGGCCCAACCAGAGATTGGTCGTGGACCTGGTTTGAATCCTAGCCCTGGTATTTACAGGTTCTGCCACCCTGGGTACTCACCTTGCCCTCATGGGTCCCAGCTTCTGCATTTGTCAGGTAGACATGTTCTTTCCCTTCCCTGCCTCTGGGCATCCTGTGGCTGGTTCCACTCCTAGGACCAGAATTCCTTCAGACAGAAAGAACACAGAGGCTAGCGCGCCCTCTGCTGGCAGACGAGTGAGTCCTCGACCGCTCCTCCCGCCCTCCCCGGCGGTGCCGAGAAGGAAGGTCAAAGTCAGAGCAAGGGCCAGGCTCGCCCGGAGCCAGAACCGCCCGGAACCGAGCAGCGCCGACGCACCGGGCGCGCTTTTCCCAATTAATTCTCATCACGACTCGACGGAGGTTAGACTAGGCACCTGCTTATCCACGTTTCTTACTCATGGTCACTCGTTGTTTTAGGAGAAAGCGACTCGAAAAAAAGGGGCCAAGAAGGGCGAGCGGTGGGGAAGAAAGGGATCGTCGGGGAGGAGGAGAGCGCTCGCTCGGGGGACCACAGGCCTTCCGGGAGGTTTACGGCCCAATCCGTCTACACTGGGACGGCCTCCGCTCAGCCGCCGACTCGGTTTGGGAGGATCTTGATCAATCCTTCCACTCCTCGGTTTTCTCATCTGAAAAATGGGTGCAGCGACGCCTCCGCGTGCTCCTGGGGACAGAGGCCACAGGATGTGACAGCGCGGTGCACAGCGCGCCACGACGCCACCAGGGGGCGCAAGAGGCGGCGATCCATTCCGGTCGCCTGTTCAGGCTCCAGCACTAGGTAGGCTGAGCCCCGCGGGACCTGGGTCTCTTTTTCTAGAGGGGCACCAGCTAGGTGACTCTGAGACTATTCAAGGTTCCCTGGAAGAGCCTGCCTGCACAAGACCTGGGGAACCCGTTCACCCTGGGAGTCAGGCCTGGAGGTGACCACAACCCCTCAGCAATCTCTCTCTCCCCTTCCTCCTCCTCCCCCCCCCCCACACACCCTCCCCAGGCTCTCGAGCTCTGTTCCAGTGACCTCCTCTACAAACTGTAAAGTGCAGCCTGAACAGTCTGGAGCCAGCAGCCATGGGAAGGAGAAAGTTGTTGGGAGCAGGGCTGTGGGTGGGAATGCCAGACGGAGTGTATGGTATGAGTACAGATGTGGAGCAAGTGAACATTCATGACCTGCTGCAGGCAGGCAGGGAGCGGCAAACAGGAAACCGACCCCACCTCCAGGCCTGCAAGTCAAGAAACCAGATGAAAGCCCTTGCTGCTACATTCGTGGCTCAGCCCCATAAGTACTCCAGCACCCATGCTGTCAGAGTCAGATGGCTCCCTGGGGACCACCCTGGGAGAGAAGCAGACTTCTATCAGCTGTCCCAGGACTGAGAACTCATGGTGAGGATGTCATTCCTAGGGCGAAGGCATCCCCAGGTCAGGCTGCAAGGAAAAGAAGGAAGTTGCTGCAGTCACTCACAACCTTGGGGAGACATTAATCCACACCAGCCTCTTTGGGTGGGGTAGCTCATTGTAAGCAGGCTTGGATGGTTCATGGAATAAGACGGTGACAGAAGAGGCCTGGCCTGGAGACAGCTCCAGCCCTAGGAGGGACTATTATTGTCCCCATCACACAGAAGAGGAAACTGAGGCACAGGTTGCTAGCTTGAGCAAGACCAGGCTGCCCCACAGCAGAAGAGCCAGAATCCAAGTCCAGCAGTTGGATATGCCTTGGTGGTATCGAGCTTTATCTTGTTCTATCAGAGTCTCATCTTGGCTGGGCACAGTGCCTTTGGGCTCCAGTCCCAGCTGCTCTGCTGTGTCTATCTGTGACCTTGGTTGGGCCAGTTTCTTGTCTGTGCCTCCATGTTCTCATCTGTAAAGTAGGAATGTGGTACCTGCTTCCTGTGGTGTCCTTTGAGTGAACTGATAGCTACAACAGGTCCAGGACAGTTGCTGTTCATTAGATAAGAGCTATTTCTTCTGAACCCCAGATGGGCACGTGTCCTTGAAAAGGCTCAACTTCTTCAGGATTATAAAATGCCAGCCTGTGGGCTCTAGGAACCTTCCAGCAGCCTTTAACCCCATTTGGCTGCAGAATTGTACCTGCTTCCTGGGGCTGGTAGGTGTAGAGCCGTCTGTCCACCAGCTCAGCCCCACACTAGGCAAATGAGGTGATGTCAAAGCCTTGGCTGGGGCCCAGCCTCTGTGACCTCCCCCTGTCCCTCCCTGTGTCTCTGCACTGAGATTCACACACACTCCAGGCCACCGGGCCCAGAGGGAAGGTGAACAGGCGAGGAGTGAAGGTGGATGACTGGGTGCACGGGTCCACTGAAGCGTGCCACCTCCAGCCCTGCTGAGCTGGTGGGCCCAGGGACTGGAACCTGACCTGAAGGGAACCTGCCCTCTGACTTTCAGCTCAATTTGCAACACCCCAGAGCTTTGTCCCTCCCTGGGTGAGCCTGTTCAGGTGTTCTCTCAGGGTTGCTGGAACCCCCTCCCTCTGCCAGGGGTGCACAGGCCAGGCAGCCATGGCTGACGAGAAGACCTTCCGCATTGGGTTCATTGTGCTGGGCCTTTTCCTACTGTCCCTCGGCACGTTCCTCATGAGCCATGATCAGCCCCATGTCTACGGCACCTTCTACGCCATGGGCAGTGTCATGGTGATCGGGGGCGTCATCTGGAGCATGTGTCAGTGCTACCCCAAGGTAGGTTGGGGCGCTGTGTGGATTCAGAATGGCTGGGGCCAGGAGGGCAGGTGGCTGTGCCAATGCTCACTCTCCAATCATCTCCCTTAGACTCCCTGTCTTCTCTCTGCTCTTTGGAGCATCTATTCACCCACCCCTCCATCTCTTACCATAAGGGCTGGGCAGATGCCCCCTGGATCAGGAGCCCTGAGCCAGACATCACAGGGGCGACACAGAGAAACCCAGGGCTTGATTTGAAGTTAACAGGAGCTCTCCACCTGTGGGCCATGCTTGCATTCGTGGTGCTGCTCAGCCTGCCCTCACCCTGAACTTTTTGATGTTTTCTCCACTTGGGTTTCATAATGGAGACTCCTGAGGTTCTGAGAGGTGATGTCCCATAGCTAAGTAGCAGGTTTGGATTGGAGCTCAGATGTGGGTGGCTTAAAGGGCAGCCTTCCACCTCGGGTGCCTTGTGCCATGTCCCAGACCTGCTGAGAGCTAACTTTGAAGGCATGCGTGATCTCTAAGAGTCTTAATCTCTTCCTAGCCTACGAGTGTCTTAGTAATAGGAAGCACCCTGGTTTGGAAGTTCTGTGTTCTAGTTCTGGCTCTGTTCCAAACTCTGTGTGACGTTTGTCCTTCTGAGCTTATGTTTTCATCTGCAAAATGGGCCCTAACTCTCTGTTCTGTGTAACCTCATGGATTATTATGACCAGAGAAGAGATGGGAGATGTTCGTATCTGTAGTGTTACGAAAAGGGCTGCTGCTGTTCCTATTCTCAGTCCTTCCAACAAACCTCTGCAGTGTACATGCCAGGAGTTGTAAACCTTCAATGCCCAGAGAGGTTAGATGATTCTTCCAAGGTCACACAGCTGGTCAGAGGCAGACTCAGGGAGATGAGAGAAACATGGATCTAACCTGAATTCTGTCTCTAACTGCCTGAGAGACTTTGCTCAACCCTTTTTCCCTCTCCGAGCCTGTTTCCCTCAATGGTACAGTGTGTGAGTCAAGAAGATGGGGCTGAAAGGGGGTTCATCTGAGGACCTGTTGAGCTTGATATAGGGCCCCAAGCCCAAGCAGCCCCCTCCTCTTCTACTTGGTGGCCCTGCTAGAAGCTCAGAGGAGGGGGAGGAGGCTTGAGGCCTGGCCCTGGCTCTCACCAGCCCTGCCCCCTCATGCCCTGCCCTGGGCTCGGTGTATCCGGAGCTGGAGCAGTCTGTGCTGGTTTGTAGCCATTTACCAAGCAGTTTACAGTCAACTTGCCTCTGCCTGTGCAATGTCCTGAGCAGAGGTCACCAGGAGGAGACGGCTTTGGGGCCAGTGGCACCATATCACCACCACCATCATAAGCTTTCTCCCAGGAATGAGGCTGGGTGCGGGGGGGCAGCTCCTTCCTATGGGACAGGAGGAGGGGACACTGCTAGGTATTAATGAGTAACTGTTGATAGGCTCACGAGTGGAGGCAATGGTGGGAGGAAACCCACACCTCCTGTGAAAACATGTTTCACAGGCCCAGATTCAAATTCCTGCCCCCTCTGCCATGTCCATGACCTTGGAGAGAGTCCCCCCCGCCCCAACCCTGTACCTCCAAGGCCAAGTACAAGGAACCAGTGGGGTGTGTGGTAGTGGACCTGGTGTCACACCTGGCATGGGGCAGTGTGTAGGCCTGCTCTTGGGGCTGTGCTGGGAGTACTGGGGAGTCTGGGGGGTCTAGGGACTCAGGCTGTTAGAGCCAGTGCAGGTTGACCTCAATAGAAGAATGATAAATGGTGTTGTAAACCAAGGGACACACACTAGGGGTGAGGCCAGCCTGAACCACCCAGGCCCTTGGCACTCATGCCCGTCCTCCCTAGGGGCTCCGCCTCTTGCTCTTGCTGCCTCACCCATGGAAAGCTTCTGTGAATGGGACTTTTCTGGATTGAATGAAATATAAATATAAAAGGACAGAACTGCTGGTTAGGACATGAGAGTGGAGGTAGACAATACCAGCCTGAATTAAGTTCTCCCTGTCTTTGAGGAGCTGGGGTCTGGTGGGAGTGTCAGTTTTCTGCCTATGGGGAAAAAATAGCCTTCATAGAGAAGGTGAGCTGGACTTTGTAGGTTAAGTAGAAGTTCACCAGGTAGAGAAGATGGGAAAGACATTCTAGGCAGAAGAACAGCGTGAGCAAAGACAGATGGAGAGAGAATGAGGCCAGTGGTTCAGTGTGGTTGCTGGCAGGTGGGAGGAGAAAGGTACAAGTGGAGAGGAATGAGGTGGCTCAGAATCTGGGATTCCACACAAAGAAGTCAGGCCTTACCCTTTATTCAAGGGGACAAGAAAAAAGCATGGCCAGCTTTGTAGTGTAGAGAACGTTTTCATGCTGACATCCAGAAGAACAGTCTGGGTCAGTCCAGTGGGAAGTGTCTGCAGGTGAGACAATGGTTGGCTGGATGAAGCAGAATTTGAACACAAGGTATAGGAACTGAGAAGACATTTCCAGTCCACTACATGTAGCATCGCTGAGGTGGCTGGGCCAGCTCGAATTCTTCAGTGGGGTTGTTTTATTGAATTTCTAAAGCACCCCCCATCAGACCTGGTGGAAGCCTGGAACTCAAGCCTGAGCAAGGATGAGGAATGGAACCAGGGCAAATTAGTGGGTGGGGATGCTGAACTTGAGAGCTGAGCTGGACCAGGGGAGCCAGAAGGGAAAGGAATGGCAGGAGGAGCAGAGTGTCTGCCCCAAAGACCTCACTACTCACTCCAGCTTACTCTTCTGAAGCCCAGGACCAAGCTTCCCACTCTCTGCTTCCTCCCTGTGGGGACTGCTCAGGGTTCAGCTTGTATCCACATCTTACTGGGTACTCTCCTGCTGAGCATGCCATAGCGCATGGTGATGGTGATGGTGATGCTAGATGAGGATGGTGGCACTGGCAGTAATGGTGGTGATGGCGATGGTGGTGGTGATGGTGGTGGTGATGGTGATGGTGGTGATGGTGATGGTGGTGATGGTGGTGGAGGTGATGGCAGTGATGGTGGTGATGGTGATGGCAGTGATGGTGGTGATGGTGGTGGTGATGGTGGTGGTGGTGATGGTGATGGTGGTGGTGGTGGTGATGGTGGTGGTGGTGACGGTGGTGGTGGTGACGGTGGTGATGGTGGTGGTGGTGATGGTGATGGTGATGGTGGTGATGGTGATGAGGATAGTGGCTGAGCAATGAGGTAATGAGGGAGAAGAGATGGCTTCTAAGGACAGAGCCAGCCAGCTACAGGCCACCGTTAGTAAGCCACTGTATGTGTTCATCACTTTTTGTTTAGCCATCATCTGCGATGCAACTTGAGTTGCTTCCACCTTGAGTTGCTGCTATGCGTAATATTACTGTTCTGAGTGATGAGTATCTCTTGGAGGTTAGCCCGTTATCCAGAAGGGTGCAGAAAGGCTCTGGGAGGAGGGTGACTGTCCCAGGCGCACAGCAATAACCTCACAGAGCAAAGAGCCTCACTCAGACTCCCAGGCCTCAGAGAAAGGGCCCACTCCACTGCCTCCTTCATGACCAGCCTCCTAGTGCCTGCCCCCGTGAGCTGAACTTGCAAAGACCACTTGATCTTGAAATTTCAGGGACAGGGGCTGGTGGGCGCAACTGCAGCCTATCCACTTCTCCCTTCCCACTGCAGCCTCTGAGCCACAAAACACATGGCAATGACCAGTTTTCTACTCATTCACCAGATAGGAATGAAGTAGCTACTAAGTGCCAGGCTATGTGCTGGGCACTGGATAAGACCCCTGAGTAATGATGAGACTTGTGCTCCAGAGCAGGTGGTATTTTCACTCACTACTGCTCCTAGTGTCTGGAAGAGTGTTTGACACAGAACTGCTCAATGAATGATGGGTGAATAAGGAAAAGCAGGTGAGGACTGGAGCCATCCACTCACTGGCACCTTGCCCGAGTAGCTCCTCCCTTGTCACATGGAAGCCCTACCAGGTCTGGCTTTTCTCCCAGGATGGCAGAAAGGTTTGCAGAAGCTCCCAGGGAGTAGCGGCCAGGTGTGTGGAGATAGTCAGCCCCAGCCCTGGGCAGCTGCAGAGGTCATCTCCATTTTTCCTTGCAGATCACCTTTGTACCTGCTGACTCTGACTTCCAAGGCATGCTGTCCCCAAAGGCCCTGGGCCTGCTGGACAATAGGCTGGCTGATGTGAAGAGGTAGGTGCAGGGGTGGGCAATCAGCCCTTTCCCCAACCCCAGTGGGGGAAGCGGGCAGGAGGGGCAGGCTCCAGCCCTGCCTCCCCACTTTCTGAGAAGGCACTATTAGAAATCATGGTTGTTCTCAACTCTCAGTTCTGTGAGTTAAGTATTATTGTTCCCATTTTACAGATGTAGGAACTGGGGCTTTGAGAAGTGCAGACCTCTTGGGGAGTCAGTGATTAAGGTGGAGCCTGAACTTTGGACTGACCTGGCCACAGCCTGTCTCCCCTGCTGAAGGTGTTAACCCCTGGCTCCAGGGCACAGCCAAGAGCACTCAGCTGGTCTCAGATGACCCCCTCCTCTCCTCCCAGCTGTGGCCCTGAGCTCCCAAGGCTGGGCTGCAGGCCCCAGGTCTGCAGAGCTCAGAGATGTTCTTCTTTGCTTGGGAGAGTTGGTGGTGCTGGCACATTTTGCACCTGGCACACAGAGTGAACATATCTGGGTGGCTCAGGGCCAGTTGCAGAGCCAGGGCTCAGGCTATCCTGGATTCTGGCCTCTTTCTTGTCATCACTCAGTTGGGGACCTTCCCAGAGGACTGGAGCACAGTGAGAGAGTTCAGGACACTGGAATTCAGCACCACCAGCCAGAGTCTATCACCATGGGTACAAGCCAGTTTCAGTCTCTATGCTTCAGTTCCCACAGTGCCTCCTGGAGTCAGGGAGTTAGGAGAGCCTAGCAGTCCAGAAGCTCAGGCCAGTTGAGGGCCCCACTACCCAAGTGTCTCATCTGTAAATGGGAATAGTCACGTTTGCCTGGAGGTGTGGTTTAGAGAAAAGTCTGGGACCTAGTGAGCCTCCATGGTAACTTGTCTCCATTTTGGCATTACACCCTTTGGTTACCTTTGGGGACATCAAATGAAAGTAACACAGGACCGAACATCAGACTTGGGGTCAGGCCCAGGCTCTACCACTTAATTTACTTACCTCGTTGGCCTCAGCCTTCTCATTCATGAAATGGGTATAGTAACATCTCCTGAGACTGCCCAGGGCAAACAGGGCCAGGGGAGGACACCGAGGCTTGCTGTAAATCGTTGCCATCTGCCTGTTCTTTCTCCCTCTGCCCACTGGGGCCTCAGCTTCCAGCCTCCCTATATCAGACTGTGGGAGGAAGCCACCTATGACCAGAGCCTGCCTGACTTCAATCACATCCAGATGAAGGTCATGGGTTATAGCGAGGACCCCCGCCCCCTACTGACCCCTAAGCTGAAGCCTGGAGCCAGCGATGGAAGAGAAGGTGACCCTCGTGACACTCAGGCCTGGATAGAGGCTGCCGTGGTTGTCCACAGGGGCTTGGATGAGAATGAGGGAGAAATAACTGAAACTCAAAGCAAGTGAGTACGCAGAGCACTTCCCAGTTCCAGGGCAAAAGAGGGAAGGGCTGTGGGACACAGAGGGTGGTGGGGACATTGGGAAGTGAGGGAGAACAACACAAGGTGCAGGACACTCAGAGGCAGCAGCAGCAGCTGGGGGCACATATGGGCCTGGCTGCAATCCAGCACCTGGGCAAATTCTTACTCTTCTCAGCTTCAGTTTCCCCAATAGGAGTAATCATCCCTACTACACAGGGTTGTTGTGAGGATTAGGACAATGTGTTTACATGCTCGGCACACAGTAGGTTCTTGTTTTCTCTGAATGCTTGTTATGAGTGACAGGGGGTCAGGAGCCAGAAGACCTGAGTTCACTGTGGCTGACTTGCCCGTTGACCTTGGAGGAGTCAGTCTCCATTTGTTTGTGAACTGAGCTCCTGACCCATCCATTTATTTAACCCATTTCATCATTATTACTGGGCACCAACTCCTGCCAGGCCTTGACTGAAACCCTAGGCCAATGGGGAGGCAAGGAGAGAACAGAGGGACCCCCAGGGTGACAGGGGCTGTGAGGGAAAGCCCAGTAGGACTGGAGACATGGATGAGTAACCTGGTTTGTACAGTAGCATAACAACCCTGTTTCCTGAGCACCTACTATGTGCCAGGATTATGCATTTGCATGCATTATCTGCTGCAAATCTCAGAAACAACCACTGCGGTGGACGCTCTTATTTCCCTACCTTACCTCCCCTAGGACTTGCAACTAGTGACTAGGATTGGGACCCAGGCACCCAGACTCAGGGCTGCCCTTGCCCTCCTTGGCTTTCCCCCTGTAGCCCCCCAGTCTGTCCCCAGGGATCTGCACCCTTGGCCTCCTTCCAAGATGACCTGGACTTGGGCTCCAGTGAAGGCAGCAGCCCCAACTCATCTCTACCCAGCAGGGAGGAGCTTCAACACCCACCACAGGAGCCCCGGACCTGCAGGGACTCACTGGACCGCTTCCATGATTTTGCCCTCATCGATGACACACCCACATCAGAGGATGCGCCCCTGGAGAGGCAGGTGAAGGAGGCAGCCCTGCCCAAAAGCTGGCAGCAATCCCCAAGAACAAGGAAGGAGAAGGAGGCTTCAGAGGCAGGCGCAGAGGAGCCAGAGGAGGAAGAGGAAGACTTGTACTATGGGCTTCCGGACAGTCCTGGGGATTCCCTCCCAGACAAGGAACTGGGCTTTGAGCCTGATGTCCAGGGCTGAAATGGAACTGCTCCCCAGTTTCTAGCCAGGTGCACTGCTAACCCCGCATAACCTCAGTTTCCCTATCTGCAAAGCGGATTGGCTGGAGAGTCAAATGAGGTGAAAAGGCTGAGCATCTTGAGAACTGTGAAGGAATCCATCGGGAGGGGATGATTACGCTCCACAGACCATCGCTCTTCCAGTCATTTTCTCTGGCAAACTAAATGAAAGTGAAATGTGATTTGCTGAGAAGATTTGCAGCAACTGAGCCCTCAAAAGCCCTTTCTACTCCCCCAGAAGCTGGCCTTTGACAGGGTCCCTCCATGGTGCTACCTGGGGCCCCAATCCTTTGTGAAGGACTTTTAGGGTCCCCTTCCTACTGAGTTTGAGTCCCCTGGTGGGTGGTATGATCTGCTCTACTCAGAGCTGACTAGGTCTTCTCCTGGGACTGGGGGTCTTTCTAGTCCCTTCTGGGACTCCCAGGCTCATCTTCAAGGAGCCAATACCTTCAGCGACTGACCTCTGCTGACTCCAATTTTGCCACTGCACAGCCCCACTCATTCTGCCCCTTACTTCCATCCTGCTGCCCATGCCCTGCCTGAGCTGTCCTCCGCTAGCAAGATGCCCTTGGCTCCCTCCTCTGCTTGGCAAGTTCAAGGTCATCCTTCTAACCCCTGCAGGCCTTCTGATGTCTCTGCTTCCTGGAAGAAGGGAGTCCTTGCTTCTTCATGTTCTCTCTGGCCTGAAACCTGCCTCCTGCTCTGGGGTGCCATCTTGACATTACTCACCTCAATCTGCAGTGGCTCAGAGTTGGTGGCCGTGGAGGATGTGCAGAGAACACCAGACCCAGGAACCTTTGGCAGACAATGCCACCTTCCCCCACCTGCCTTGTGACTCTCTGGCATTCACATTTCTTGACACTTGTAGACAGGCACAAAGGCCCAGTAGAATATCACCACTGTCCTGTGGAATGCTCGGCATTGGCTCAGGACTGGGTGAGATTAAGCTGCCTGGCTTAATTCCATTTGACTCAGGGGGCATTTACTGAGCATGTATTGTGAGCCAGGTGCTCAGCTGGGGCCTTCAGGAGGAAAGAGATGTGAATTCCCCTTCCAGCCATTGACCTCGAAGGACTCACTTGTTTTTTTTGTAAGGTAGAGACAGAGCACAGGGCAGAAGTGAGGTAGGAGCAGAGAAGTAAAAGGGGCAGCAGAATGGCAACCACACAACTGCCTGAGGCCATCAAGAGCAGCAGAAAAGAGGCTGGGCAGCCCTGCAGGCCTTGCTGTATGCAGCTTTTCAGAATCACCCCTGCCTCCTGTTGACCTTGGAAGAGCCCAGCGCACCCAGCCTGGTACAGGCAGCTGCAGGGAGAAAGGCAGCACTGCTTCCCTACACCACCTCCAAATGCTCAGAATTTGACCCTGGGCCACCTGGGAGTGAAACCCTTCACCTGGGCTGCACCTCTGGGCAGAGGTTGGGCATCCAGGCCCACAGAGAGAAATGTCACCCTTGTGCTGGGCCAGAAGCGCCACAGCCCCTGAAAGGCACACTTCCTGTCTTCAGGCTGTTTCTACCTCTGCAGTGAAAGTGCCACAAGGCACATTCTCTCTGCTGATGTGACCCAGAGCAGGTGTCCCTGCTCATGCCCGAGTCATGGGTGAGGTGAGGTGAAGCATTCTCCTATGCTCTGCTGGCCAAGGCAGGGACACTTGTGGCCCACATCAGAGAGAGCACCAGCTCTAAGGGCTAAAATAAAAATGTTTTCCACAGTGAAACAGTCACCTTTATTCACCTGCAAATTCTTTTCTGTGAAACCTTCTAGTCCCCCTTGGGGCAGGCTACATGAGGCATCACACCTGGCTGGCACTGGGGACAGCAGCAGCCACTGTGGTGTAACAGTGTGGTCAGCTACGTGGAGTGGGTGTCATGCCCAGAACCACAACTGTAGGTCCTCAGACATGAACAAGAGCCTCTCTCTGGCTGCCACTCCTGCTGGCAGACGGACACCAACCCTGTCCCAGGAGAGTCTGCAGGGTGGGCTCCCCCACCCTCCTGGGCACAAGGGGGATCTGGCATGGTCCCTGCTTCTGCCCATGTCACCACTTAGTTGTGAGTGCACTTTGCTGCTTGCAAAGCCCAGGGAGTGGGGAAGGAAGCAGGGCTCTGCTCCAGACAGAAAGCAAGGGGAGTCCTACAATGGGGCCTCCTCATCAGTTCTGAAGCAAGAGCCTAGAGGGAAACTCAAGATGTGATGACAAAGAAGCATCAGTCACCTTCCAGCTGGGGAAGAGAGTGGTCCTTTTCCTGCCTTTGGCACTGTCCCTTTTGCCTGTGCTCAGCCATGACTGCCTAGTGGTGTTGACTTGCCCCGAGCATGGGCTGCTTTTGTTGGTCCCTGTCTTGGCCTTTCCTGCTTATGCTTTTTCTGGAGCCTGCTGGTGACCAGCAAGTGTGGGTGGGAGGGGACGATGCCATGGACTTCATTGGAAAGGAAGGACCTGGAGAGCAGTGGGCAGGTGGCTCTGCTTCTTTCTGCTCTGGCCATCCCAAGCTCTCTGACTTGCTCACAGGCAGGCCACCATGCCCCACCATTGTGCTTTCTCCCTTGGGCCTTGCCACCATCCAGTGTCCTGGGAACACCAGTGCCTCTGGGATGCCTCAGATGGATTGGCTGGGAGAAGAGCAAGGAGCTCATGGTGGGCGAGGTGCTGGAAGGGGCTGGAGGACCATGTAGGAGGCAAACCTTGGGATCCCGGCGTCCAGCCCCAGGCTCTAGGTTTGTGAGCCAGGGCTACAGTCCTGCTGCATTCTGTTTCCATCAGCTCAGACCCAGGCCCAGGGCAGGACCCTCAGCCTCTACCCAGAGGTGCAGCCCAGGTGAATGGTACCACTCCCCAGGTGGCCCAGGGAAAAAAAGTCCTTGTGGTAAGGGGTAGGTCAGGGATGACAGCTGAGCTGGGGAATGGAGCTTGGTCACTGCACTGCTGGCCATGACCTTGTCCAGTCTCTCCCTGGCTTCTGTGCCTTTTCTCTAATGATTGGAAGAAAGGGGACAAGATTTTACTTCTACTCTCAGTCCTTGGGCACTGTGCCAGAACCCCTTATGTTCATTACCCTTCTTGGTCCTCACAACAGCCCAGGGGACAGATCTATTGACCCCGCATGGTAAAAGTTTGTTCTAAATCTCAGACTGTGAAGTACAAGAGACTTGAGATCACGTTCAGCTCTGCCAGGTCCTTGCTGTGTGAACTTGGACAAGTTACTGTCCCCCTCGGGGTGTCACAAAGAAGGGCCAATGGGGACAACTCCCTGGCACATCATAGGTACTCTAAGAGTGGTAGTGTCAGATTTCCTTCCCTCTCTGGGTCCCCATTTCCTCTTCTACACAGTGTTGCACATCAACTCTATTCTGCTTATACAAAAGGGGGCAGGTGAGTGGACTTGGTCAGGAGATGATGCATGCAAAAGTCCCTGTCAAGGGTAAAGAATGGGTATTGAGTGCCAGGGGCTGGGGGCAGGTGAATTGACAACAGCCATGGGTAAAGTAGCTCCTGAGTAAGGGAGGAGGGGTGGAGTCCTGCCCTGAGCAGGGAGGCGGCTTATGCCCAGCCAGGTAAGGCAGCAGTCATGTTCTCAAACACCTGCTGAGTGCCAGGTGCCTCCATGATATCATCTTACCAAGTTGAGCTTCCCATTACTTCTGAGACATTGGAATCCAGGGGCAGAGCTGCAACTCCAAGGAGGTCCTCCAAGCCTGTGCCTGCTCCCCCTATGTCATCTGTTCACACCTAATAGTAAGACTCAACCATGTACCTGCAGCTGGGTGTGATGATGTACACCAATAATCTCAGCTACTCAAGAAACAGAGGCAGGAGGATCTCAAATTCAAGGCCAGTCAGGGCAAAGTAAGCTCTAGACTCTATCTCAAACACAAAATACAAATAAGAGGGTTGGGGGCATGGCTCATGAGGGAGGCCCTAAATTCAATCCCTAGCACCTTGGTGGAGGGGGCAGCACTGGCTAGGCTGTGCTCACCTAATTTTATTTCACCCTCACAATCTGCAAGGTTGGTACTATCCCCACTTTATGGGAAAGTGAGGCTCTTTGCCTCGCTTTCAAGAGAAGGGCTCAGTGGAGGAGAGGAGATGCAGCCACAAAGTCTTGTACTCCTGGCAGGCATTGTCCTATAGCCCCAGAGCCCCAAGCCATTTAGGCCCTTGAGTAAACAAGACACATCAGCAAATCAGATAGCCAGTTTCCACTGAGTACCACCTGGGCCTTGCCCCTTGCCACTGACGAGGGAGGCACCTTCCATGACTCCCTATTGCCTACCACATAAGGTCAGATTCCTCAGCCTGGCCTTTCAGGCCTTCATGATCTGGCCTTGTCCGCCCTTTCCAGCTGACTCACCTACCACTTTCCCAGCACCACAGCACTGGAGACCTGACCTGCACGCTTTCTGCTTTTGCTCAGGCTGCTCCCTCTACCTGGATGCCCTCCATCCCCTTCCCTTTTAACCCTCAAATTCTACCTGCTTCTTGGAGCCTGAACCGGCCCCATTCTCTGCTGCCCTCGAGCCCTGTCCAACAGCGAGGATTTGTTCTAGGCCTTTCTTACTAGGCTGCCTATGGAGTACTGTTATCTCCCTGCCTGGATCGGGAGGGCTTCAGAGGACAGCCTCTTCCTGCCAGTTCCCATTGAAAGAGCAGAAATGCTGGTAGAACAGAACTAGGTGCCCATTCTGAAGGTGGCTGGCCCAGGTGCATGGACTCCCAGCCCAGGGGAGACAAGGCAGTGCATGCTACATAGGTTGAGTGTGCAGTGTGGGCACGGTGCCAGTGAGCCCTAGTGACCAATACCCACCCTTCTTCTCACCACTGCAGAGGTGAGGGGCCTTGAACAAAGCCCAGGCACTAGGAGCCAGCATAGGCTTGGGGCTAGCAACCAAGTCCTAGTGCTTCCCAAATGCTGGTTGGTGGACCCAGCTGGGTTGCTGGCATCACACACTCTTAGGAAGA